TTAAATATATTAAAAATTATTTTTCATTTATAAGGGGGGGTCATACTCAGAGGCTTGGTATGTGAAAGGGTCACCAGTACAAAAGTTTGAGAACCACTGCATTAGCTGGATGTTTTTGCTACAGCAATCTGTGAAATAGTTATCCATGTTGGGATTTAAAATGTCATCTTTAGGTTTTAGAGTTAACTCATTTCAGATGAACAGGCCAGTTCACCTCTTTCAGGTATTGATACAAGTTGTCCACAGACTCTGGAAGATGTCACTGCATCGATATAGGTCCTGGGCTTGTCTACACTAAGAAGCTATTACAAAATAAGCTAGGGTGTGAATTTAAAACATGATAGTTATTCCACACTAGTTCCCAATGTGTACACTCTTATTCCATGCTGAGTGACTTTTTGCATATTCAGTTTATTACACTCCCAAAGTGGTTTAAGCTAAACTATATAAAGGCACTCACTGCAGATTAAGCGTACACATGGGGAGGTAGTACAGAATAGCTACTTCCCTGTGTAGATAAGCCTTTATTCTGTTCAGGTTTTCAGGGTTATGTTTGCAACAATGAGTGCTACAAAGATCTATTTTTTTTTTTAAATGCAAGCTCAGATTCTGGAGCACAATTATGCATCAAGGGGTGAATTCCATAGCCACCGAATTATGGATTACACAGGGGCTCTAGCTATGATTTAGAGAGCCCAAAATGGTCTGCAACCCCAGTTGGAAAGATCTATGTTCCTTTATAAGTGGCTTTGACATACTTGCTATTGTTCCTACCTCTCCAGGACAGATGGCTGAGTATTCTTAATTGAGGATATTGCAGGAACCTTTTCTTTGGCCATTCCCCTAGAGCAGTGGTTCTCAACCAAGGGTATGCATACACCTGGGGATACACAGAGGTCTTCCAGGGGGTACATCAACTCATCTAGATATTTGCCTAGTTTATAATAAGCACTAGCAAAGTCAGTACAAACTAAAATTTGATACAATGACTTGTTTATACTGCTCTATACACTGAAATGTAAGTACAATATTTATATTCCAATTGATTTATTTTATGCTTATATGGTAAAAAATTAGAAAATAAGCAATTTTTCAGTAATAACGTGCTGTGACACTTGTATTTTTATGTCTGATTTTGTAAGCAAATAGTTTTAAAGTGAGGTGAAACTTGCGGGTACATAAGACAAATCAGACTGCTGAAGGGGTACAATAGTCTGGAAAGCTTGAGAGCTACTGCCCTAGAGCCTGCATTTGGCAGGTAAGAATTACCTGTCTAGGCTGGCTTTTGACTGAATTTTAAATGATGTTAAAGGTGACTTGTGAAGGGGGAAAAAAGGGGGTTGTACCTTGTTTTGCCTTTTTATGATGTATAAAGAAGACCTAGAAGGAGTTTTTTCCTAATAGAAATAGAAATCTGGGTTCTGTCTGCACTGGGTGGATCTAGTACGGGGTCTCAAACTCAAATGACCACGAGGGCCA